TGTTCTAGATGATGAAATCCTTATCCCAGATTAATCCAGGGGTAAGTTTATCATTCCTGGGACACAACTAGAACAGTTAAAGCCTGTAACTTGTGTTTGCAGGCTTTGCATTTTTTGTTTATAATGAGCCAGTTTGTCTTGCAATGCGAGTTAACTCACTTCCATACCCACACCTGAGCCACTGCTTAAGCTTATGTAGGAGTCCAGGGAGACTATCAGTAGTCAAATCCAGATCTCTTGAGTCTCATTTCCGTGTGATACTGCAAGACTATCCTTCTTTGCAAGTAACCTGGTTATTTTAATAAGCTTTTAAAAATAGAGAACTGCAAGAAAATTCAGGCAGAAATCATAAACCTTATTGGTATGACAGCATTAGCATTAACATGATACAGCTTTACAAGGCAAAAATAGTGTCCCATCATCAGGACAAATTTCTGAGACTTGAGCCTAATTTTTCCCACTCAGAAACCATTTAGAAGTATCCAACCATAAAATGAAGACATCCTAACACTTTTTTTTTTTACTTTTTTTTTTCTTGTTTTGTTTGGAGTAATATATTGATACCTCTCAATAAATTCTACTCTATTCCATTTTGAAGTTGGATTTTTTCTTGGTGCTTGACAATGTACCTGATTTGCCATAGGCAGAGCTGCTAAATAAACAAATCCAGGCTTGACTTCTTCATTAAACTCTCCCTGTTTTCATATTATCCAAATGGTGCACCCAGTCTAGGAATCCCTTGTGCTCCTTTTTTTTCCTTCTGTTGGTTTGTTGGTTTTTTTTGGTTTTTTTTTTTTCTGACTGTGCTCATCAGAAGGGTTTTTGTAAGATGTCTGTGTGATAATTTACCACACATCACCTCATTCAAGAGTCTTGGCCCTAATCCAGTGTCTAAAAGGGTTTTTCCTCTAATTCAAACCCAGCCTGACAAAGTAATGAAGGCAAGGTGGCATCAGTTTCCTGAGAAACAAACCGAGGCAGTGGAGAGCTCTGTGTGGAGATTTTTTGTGGACACAATGATAAGAAGGGGCTGGACACTGGGACACCTCATTGTCCCCCTGTTTCCACACCTCCAAACTTGAGCTCTTTAAGCCTTTCTCTTCCCAGTGAAATGAGAACAGGCTGTCCCAGGATGCAGCTGACATGAGAAGAGATGTGACCCTGGGAGTCAGTTAAGGGTGAAAATAAGAAGTTTTTGGGATGTGTCTGACGTGACTCCTGTTCAGCAGGTTTGGCTCATGGAAAAACACATCCACTTTAGCCTTCTCCCTGCCCTGTTCAATCTTATTTGAACAGCAACCTCAGTCTAATGAGAAAAAGGCTTATTAGATGTTGTTTCTTACATGTAACCCGTGTCCAGGAAATAATATTGAAGATTGTGAGATACTGATGTGTTCTGTCAATATTTGCATTTTATAATTGTTTCTCCAAAGAACTGAGCAGGCAGGACCTCCCTGATGGGACTCTGGTCATTTACCCTGTGACTTGAGGGAAAAGACAGAATATTAATAAGGTTCATCTCAGTTCCCTCAGCAGATCATTTACTCTCTCCCTGTTCATTACTCATTTATAAATAAAATCTCAGAATGAGTGACTGGAAGGAGCTGGAGGCCAGGGAGAAAGGTGGGGGAAGTTTGCACACCAGCAAAAATGCTCTCTGAAAACCTGTGTCTGTTTGCAAATGCAATGGACCTGTCCCTCAAAGCCAGAGGACTCCAGCTTTATATCACTATAATCAAAAGCAGACTCCAGATCATAATCCTTTGAAATTCAGACTGAGCTGTGCAGGCTGTGGGAGCTAAGGGACTGGAGGAAGAGAGCTGAAAAATGCCCTTTACTACCCTAGATCAATTCCTGATGATAATGGGGATCATGGAGATGTACTATCTGATCTTCTTAATGGGACTAGTGCAGCTCTGTCTTACTTTACAGGGCAAAGATAAAAAGCACAGAGAAACACTGGAGGACACAGAGAAATGCCTGGGATTTGTATTTCAGTAGAAAGCAATTCAGGTAGCATCTTAAAAAGATACCACTCAACTGTTGGCCAGATTGCTAATCCATGACAGACAAAAAAATACATCAGATTCATTTAAAATGTATTCCTCAACTTTCCTCAGCAATGGACGAGTAACACGTGTATGTCCCACTGCTGAGCTGAGCAGTCCTCACTTACTCTAGTGTAGAATTTGGAGAGAGCTGCTGCTGATACCCTCATGTATCAGAGATGACTTTTCATCTCTCAGGAGCTTTGCTGGTCTCTGTGAAGCAGTTTTGTGTAGTCCACATGGCAGAAATGAGTTACATGGGTCAGAAGTGGCCCAAGTGCAATGCTTAAGGTCTCTGTCTGTAAGTGCATTTTAACGAGATGGTTTGTTCTGCTACATCAATGTATAGTCCTGCTTTTGGCAGCAGCACAAAGCATCTAAAGTGATATGAGTTTGGAAGGATCACTGTAACTCAAGTGAAGAATATTGCCCTTAGAAAATTATTTCAGAGATACAGCTCTCACAGCTAGGACAAAAAAAGGCAAAGGTATTTTATCCATACTTTGTAGCTGAGGAAGCTGAAGCACAGAAAGATGAAGTGGGTGGGTTCAGATACTCAAAAAGACCTGAAGTCTTTTCAGGTGCCAGCATTGCAAGGCATTCACTAACATTCACCTCATGAAATCCCCAGAGTTATCAGACCAGGGTCACAGATAATTGACCCTGTGTCAAACCTCTTGCTTGTGCCTCTATCTGTCCATCTGCCTGTCCATCTCTCCACTATTCTAACATTTTATAAAGTTTGCTTCTAAAATCATTTTAAAATGCACATACTTAAAGCCCCCCTTTTATGAAGGTGGTCATCCCAAAGCTATTGCAGCCAAGGTAAGCAGCTGTGAATGCCAGTCACATCAAAGCAGTGTTGATTTGGTCCCACGGCAACTTGTTCTGTGCATGTAAGCATGATCTCTAGCACAGGAAAGAGGAACGAGGAGCCCTGAGTTCAAGGATTCACAATTCCCACACCTGAAACTGACCCATATGGTGGATTATTAAATGCTCTGAAGAGCAGGTTTGGGGATGATGCAGGTTAAATACACCACCTGGATTCAGGAATGAAAGGACATAAGGGATTTCCTTGTAGAGACAGTGCTATACATATACAGAAAAGGGCCAGGAGTAATTCGGTAGCTTATGGCATTGCTCACCTTTGGGATGTGGATTTAAATCCATTCCTCCAAGCTATTCTTAAAATTCAAACATGGCTAGAAATCACAAACACTTAAATCTGTTTACATGGGATTTTAATTCTGGGGAGCTGTGCACTGTAAGGATTAGGGAAACCAGGCCTGGCCACCTCCTGAAGCTGCTCAGTGAAAGCCACGCACACCAGCTGTGCCCACCCTCTGCAACAATACAGGTTTAAATAATTCCACATTAAAAGCCCATCTAAGCACTGCTTTGCTCTCTGGCTCATTATGCTGTGAACCCTTTGCTTCCACATAGCATTAAGCACATGAACCTGTTGGCTGAAAGCACAGACCACCAGTTTTTTTCTGCATAACGATATAATTGATAACTGCAATCAGTTCTGCATTTGTCAATGGGTGTCTGATACTTAGGTCACAGAATCACTCTAAACAGCGTCCCACTTGGCAAGCAAAGCGTGACCATTTCTGTCCCTAAACATCTCCTTTCAAAGAACTTTAAAGTTGTCTGCCTGTCTTATTTATATTACACAGTGATTTGGTGGTGAGACAGATGTGAATATATGTCACATTTTGTAACTTCTCAGTTGTTAAAACACCCCCACACACACTTTAAAGTGTACTAGATGGGGCATGGAAGACAACAGCTCTTTTGAGTAACTTACACCAGTCTAAAAAAAATTCAAGGTCAAAGCTCTTAAAAAAAACTGTACTATTTTTGGAGCAAGACTGATCACTTATTACTACTATGGTTATTATTATACTTATTATTATTTTTGCAATGAGGCCTTACTTTTCATGAGCTTCTTCTGCCTTCCTAGATATTTCATTTTTTTTGTTCGTTTGTTTTGTTCTGAAAAAGAATTAGGGGTAAAACTGCAGAAGTCTTAGTAAGGGACCACATCAAATCTGCACCATAAGGTTTCATCCCATCAGTTTAGCGTCTCAAACATTAGAATTTAAAAGATCCTCTAGGAAGAATATAAGAGCAGGGCAAGCAAGTAGCAAAACTTCCATGATACACTCTCCTGGACTGCACTAAACCATTGCTTCTTAAGGCAAGAATGTCCTTTTTGTAGTTCACAGTTCTGATGGATTTTCTTCCATGATGCTGTTTGATTTTATGGGAGCCCCTAACACTCGCACTGCTTTCCTGTTTCCACTTTTGCTCTGACAGAAAGATTGCATACTTGCACCTTTTCTGTTGTAGAGCCTTTAGATGCAATGCAGCCTGTTCTTTGTGGGTGTAGAAAGAAGCTGGTAAAAATCCACTTTCCTCTGCCCAGGACAGTCCTCTAACACTTTCCAGGCTGCCTCGGGGTGTGGGAAACATTCTCACCATCCTAGTAGGAAAAGAACAGTTTGGCAGGCTGCAGCATGACCTTCTCATATCAGGCACTTTGAGCTGAAACCTGGGGCTTAAGAGGAGGCTCAGGGAAGTGCTCAGCTCTGTGTATTGGCACTTCAATCGAGCTGATGCCCTCTGTAAATCACGCAGCCAGGACCCAAACCACATCAATTGCTGAAGATGGCAATGCTCCCTCCCTCCTCAGTGCTTTGCCCTCAGAGCTGAAAGATCTTTGCACCAGGGCCGTGTCATCAGACAAAGACCACGAGAACTGTGATATCGTAATGAGAGGAAAGCCAATGCTGATGTCTTTAGAAACAATATGCTGGGTGAAGGTGTGGGTGTGAACATCTTTGAAACGTGTCTCCATGTCTCTACTGCCTTTGGGCACCGGGCCTGCTGCCGGGCCCAGCCAGCCGGGCCCCTGGAACAAACAAAGGCCTGCACAAGCCTCACCTTCACAACTCCGGGCTAGAACGACAGGTTCAAGGGGAGATTTGGGCTAGGCAGCTCGGGAAGGCTGTACCTTCCTAGTGCCTCGTCCAGCAGGGAAAGCAAGAGGGCAGCATGCGGCCAGGAGTTTGGGATAAAATGAGGCTGAACCCTCTGAAAGCCGGAGTGAGAAAACCCCGCGCATGTGTGCCCCTGTGGACTCTCCCGTTTTATTCAATGAAGTTGCAGGACTCCTCTGTCTCCTTTCTGACAGAGGACAACCTCTGGTTGTGGATTTTCCTGAGAAAATCTTCCAGAGACCCTGCTCAGAATTTCAAACACTGCTGGGTTCTCTGCCCTGGGGAGTAAGACCCGAGCTGCTTCCAGATGTTTTATAGCTGTGTTTTCTGCAGCAGTGCAGCTGGACACTTGGATCCAGTGGGTTTTTTGAAAGAGCCAGCACAGGCAATTGATTCACAGGCAGTGGAAGCTGCAGGTGGAGAAACAGTAATGTCTGGGAGTGAGAGAGGGCTGGTGGGAGACAGGAGTAGTGTGGGAATGGGTTTCACTGCTGAGATTCCAAGGGAAGTTGTCTTCACAGCCAAGCACTCCCTGCAGAAAGGTTCATTAGTGACTGTGTTAGACATGCAACATATCCCAACAAAAGAATTATCAAGATCCTTTCATAACTCAGATGTACATCTCAAAAACATATTTGTAGCAGCTTATTGCAGGTTTTCCAGTCTATATTTTCCTCCTTTCTAACTTTCTAATTTGAGAGCTAAATCAAATTGCAACATTATCATATCATCCTAATAGCAGATATCTTTCTGAGTGTCATACCATATGATTCTTATTTCTGGCATCTTGTCCTACAATACTGAATGAATTGAATCCAGGAGACCACTCACTGCTGGATTGTGTTTCTGCAAATAATTTTTCCAAACTGATTTAGTTATTGTTAAACATGAACCCGAGATTCCATTCATCCCCCTGTTAAGCAGCAAACCACTTTATTACAACAAAATGCTTCTCTAATGTCCCCAAGGTTTGAATTTTTAGCTCCAAGATGAGGATCATGAGAGTCTCTTTGTGCTTTTGTCTGCCTTGTCAATTTGAACAGTATGGTGTTTTGAGACAGGGATTTTCTTTTACTTTGTGTACACACTGGGACTGTACAGTGACACCAGTTGTCCTAAAACATAAATATTATGTCAAGGATTATCAACTAATACTATTACATGCAATTACATATTCTTTCCTAAAGGAAAAGAACTCCAGAGTATTTCAGGAATTGTGGTACAGCTGAATGTGAGGCATTGCTTCTTTCTCAAGAAGATACTGAAAAGAAAAGAAGTTTATTTCAAACTTCATTTTTTCACTGAGGTCCCAATTTTCTGGTACAATCTGTTTGTGGGAACAAGTAATGGCTTAGACAGGGAGTACTAATAAAAGTGACTTCACCCATCATCTGTTTCTGATCACTTCTAGACAAAGGTTTAGATGCACAGAAAAGGCTGGAGCCAAGACTTGTATGGATGCAAGATTCCTATATTTCATTCTTCCCCATGAATTTCAGAAGGAACAAAACCAGTAAAAAAGAAGAAAGAAAAAAGAAGGGAGGGAGGGATTTGTGGGGTGGGAAAGGCTGGGATTGGCTCCCGCTGTGGCTTTTGGGTTTTTAGTGAATTAAAGCAACAAATTGTCCATTTGAGTGAAACCCACCCTGCAAATCCCAGTCCCAGGGGATCCCGAGCCAAAATCCCAGAGGCAGAAAAATCAATTTTTCCTCGAGCAAATCCAGCAAATTCCGGAGCTTTTCCCCTCCCCTTGGCAAAACCCTTTTCTCCCTGCTTTTATTTTGTTAATTTTTTTTGTCTCAGCTGTTCCCGATCTCTTTTCTGAGGGGTTGGGATGAGAAGATTGGGCCGGAATTTAGGGAGAGAGGGACGCGCTCCATGCCAGGTTTTTTCTGGGAAAAAAAAAAACCTGGAATCCAGAGGTAAAATCTGGTATTTTGATAATGAACGCGCAGCCCTTTTCCAGAGAATTCCTCCGGCCTAATTGGATCTGCTTTCCCTGTTCCCGTGCGCTCCTTGTTTGGTTATTTATGGAAAACATCTGTCCCAAATCCCGGGACATCCTCTGGGGGGACAGGAGCCCCCAGCAGGGCAGGGGAAAACCCTAAATCCGTGGGAAAAATATGGAATTTTCCGGGCTGGAAAAGAAATTTTCCTCCCCCCCAAGCGGTGCTGGGATAAAGGCAGGGATGGATTTTCCAGGTGAAAAACGGGATCCGTCCCAGCGCTGCCGCAGCTGTGATTAACCCGGGTAATTAATCCAATTAATTAATTAATTAGTTAATCCCGGGGTGGGACACGGGAGAGTCTGAGCTCTTCCAGCCCGGTGGCATCATCGCTTTGGAGGTATCCATCCTCTCCCGTGGATTTCATGGATTTAGGGAAGTTTTTCCTCCCTTTTCCTACTCCAGGGCTGGAGCTGAGGGAATTTGAGCCAAATTCCAGAGGGAAAATCCCGATTCCCGGGATCCAGCCCCAGCTGCGAGCACAGCCCGACTGCAAATCCCGGGATTTGCGTGGTGGGAAAGGGCCGAGAGCCCTGGAATTCCCAGGATTTGGGGTTCAGCGGTGGCAGCTGGAAATCAGCTGGATCCTACCTGGAGCAATCCCGGGAATTCCTCCTCCTGGCGCCCAGCCCAGCCCCAGATCCCAAACCCCGCTGGCTTTTGGGGGAATTTTTGGAAGTCCAAAGAAGCGATGTCCAAATGCTGGGAGGAATTTCAATGGATTTCCCCCGTTGCGGTGGGAATTTCTCTGGATTTCCCCCCAGTTGCAGCAGGAATCTCTTCCCATCCCTTCTTCCGTTCCCTCATCCCTTTCCCTCTGTCCCAGGGTCTCCAATTCCCTTTTCCTATCTCCTCTCCCCGTTTTCCCGGGATCCTGATCGCATTCCCGGGACCGTATCTGTGCATGTGTCTCCGGTTGCTAGGGGGTCTTTTTTCTACCTTCTGGTGCTCGCGGGATGAAGATCATAGGTCTTCCTCAATCTTATCCTTTTGACCTTTCTTCACTATTTTCTGGTAAGGCCTATCTTTGGTGACTTTCTGGAATTCAAGAAAGCTCGTAAGGCCGTTAGTGATTTATGCAAGCGTCAGTAGCAACCTTCAACCTCATCCTGATTCCACAAAGCATAGTTTTGCAAAGCATCCTATCTACATGTTTAGGCGAACAAAAGGGTCTCTGCTTATCACAATATCCATGCCTTAGTGCTCACGCCGAGCTTCCCGAGCTTGCTCCGCTGGGAACAGCGGCTCCAAGGGCTTTGACGGCATCCAATTTGGGATGAGAACCCCAAAATCTGGGATGAGAGCCCCAAAAAATCTCAGCCTGGAACCCCAAAATTTTAAGATGAGAACCCCAAAAAATTGGGATGAGAAGGGTTAGGGTAGAGAACACCAAAAATTTGGGCCCGGAACCCCAAAAATTTGAGATGAGAACACTAAAAATTTGGGCCCGGAACCCCAAAAATTTGGGATGAGAACACCCAAAATTTGGAATGAGAAGGGTTAGTGCAGAAAACCCCAAAAATTTGGGCCTGGAACCCCAAAATTTTTGGAATGAGAACACCAAAAATTTGGGCCTGGAACCCGCAAAATTTGGGATGAGAATGGTTAGGATAGAGTGCAGCAAAAATTTGGCATGAGAACACCAAAAATTTTGGGCCTGGAACCCGAAAAATTTTTGGGATGAGAACACCAAAAATTTGGAATGAACCCCAAAAATCCAGAGTCTAGAAAGCACCTCAAAACTTCAGAGTCTAGAACCCCAAAACCAGAGCCTAGAATCCCAAAATTCTGAGTCTGGAACCCAAAAATTTTCTATGAGAACCCCAAGAATTTGGGATGAGAACGGTTAGGCTACAGAACACAAAAAATTTGGGATGAGAGCACTAAAAATTTGGGTCTGGAACCCCAAAAATTTGGGATGAGAAGGGTTAGGGTAGAGAACAGGAAAAATTTGGGATGAGAACACCAAAATTTGGGATGAGAAGGGTTAGGGTAGAGAACAGCAAAAATTTGGGATGAGAACCCCAAAAAATTGGGATGAGAAGGGTTAGGGTAGGAATCCTAAAAATGTGGGCCTGGAACCCGCATAATTTGGGATGAGAACAACAAAAATTTGGGCCTGGAACCCCAAAAATTTATGATAAACCCCAAAAATCCAGAGTGTAGAAAGAACCTCCAAATTTCTGAGTCTAGAACCCCAAAACCAGAGCCTAGAATCCCGATTTCTGAGACTGGAACCCAAAAATTTTCAATGAGAACCCCAAGAATTTGGGATGAGAAGGGTTAGAGTAGAGAACACTAAAAATTTGGGATGAGAACACTAAAAATTTGGGCCTGGAACCCCAAAAATTTGGGATGAGAACACCCAAAATTTGGAATGAGAAGGGTTAGTGCAGAAAACCCCAAAATTTGGGCCTGGAACCCCAGAAGGGTTAGGGTAGAGAACAGGAAAAATTTGGGATGAGAACCCCCAAAATTTGGGATGAGAAGAGTTAGGGTAGAGAACAGCAAAAATTTGGGATGAGAACACCAAAAATTTGGAATGAGAAGGGTTAGTGCAGAAAACCCCAAAAATTTGGGCCTGGAACCCCAAAATTTTTGGGATGAGAGCACCAAAAATTTGGGCCTGGAACCCGCAAAATTTGGGATGAGAAGGGTTAGGGTAGAGAACAGGAAAAATTTGGGATGAGAACACCAAAAATTTGGGCCTGGAACTCCAAAAATTTATGATAAACCCCAAAAATCCAGAGTGTAGAAAGAACCTCCAAACTTCTGAGTCTAGAACCCCAAAACCAGAGCCTAGAATCCCAAAATTCTGAGTCTGGAACCCAAAAATTTTCTATGAGAACCCCAAGAATTTGGGATGAGAAGGGTTAGGGTAGAGAACACTAAAAATTTGAGATGAGAACACTAAAAATTTGAGATGAGAACACTAAAAATTTGGGCCCGGAACCCCAAAAATTTGGGATGAGAACACCAAAAAATTTGGGCCTGGAATCCCAAAAATTTATGATAAACCCCAAAAATCCAGAGTGTAGAAAGAACCTCCAAACTTCTGAGTCTAGAACCCCAAAATCAGAGCCTAGAATCCCGAAATTCTGAGACTGGAACCCAAAAATTTTCTATG